CTTCGGAGACTGCAGAAGCCCCCTCGAATGGATGGGGAGGTGGTCGACGTAGGCACGGTGATGGAGACGGGCGAGATGGTGCGGGGGTAGAGGAATGCTGCCAGGGGGGGGAGGTGGTTGACGTAGGCGCGGTGATGAGGACGGGGAGATGGTGCGCGTCTCCGCGGTGATTTGGTGGGCGTCGTTGAGGAGCGGGGGTAAAGGACATGGTTGCCAGCCCTGCGTATCGCCTTCGTTGGTCTTTGAACTCCAGGAAGGAATCGGTTGCCAACCCTCTGTATCTCCTTTGTGTGTTCATCGATCTCCAGGAGGGTGGGCGAGGGTGAAAGGGTGAACGGAGTATCCTCAAAGGCGTTGACAGGGGGGGGGGGCAGTGGAGACTCCTCCATGTGTCTCATATGTCTCCCATAATCAGAACATTCCTCAGGCGGGTGCAGTGATAATTCTTCAGGGTTTTCTGCGTGATGTGTTGTGTCTTTCTCGTGTTTTGATTCCTCTTGCCGCTTGTCCTTGGCAGAGGGAACAGATTGATGACGCAGCAGTTGAATATGTTAGAGATAAACAATTTCACTCCTGACTTGTTCAGGCAAACTCCATTTGCCTTGAAAAGATGTCTGCGGTCCCAGAAAAAGTTAAAATTGTCAATAAAATGAACAGAATGGTCAGTACAGACAGTTGAAAGCCAGGTGTTCAGTGCAAACAATCTGCTGAATCTCTCCACTCCTCTTCTGACTGGCGGTAGAGGGCCACTGATGAACACCTCTGCATTTAGAGAGCTGGCAGTTTCCAACAAACATTTAAAGTCTTCTTTCAGCACTTCTGACTGTTGTTTCACAACATCATTTGTTCCAATGTGCAGTACCACATTCTTCACAGTCGGATGTTCAGCCCCAATATGCAGGATCTTCTCAGCCAAGTCAGAGACCATTTCCTTGGGAAAACAGAGTACTTTGGTGTTGTTCTTATTACACAGACCTTTTACATCTCTTACAGCAGAGTCACCCACAATCAGAGTTCAGGCCCAGTCGTTAGCTTTCCCTCTAGCCTTTTACTTTTGGAGTAGCTATTGGTCCTCACCCTGCTGCGTGAAGAGGACAGGTTATCCAGGTCATCAGATCTCCGGTTCTCGGTCAGCGGAGCGTATCTGTTCTGGATTGGCACACTTGGTGGTTTAGGAGGATTGTTTGTAATTCTCCCTTTAGCAGCTGTCCACTGCTGTTTCCTAGTATGAATAGGGGTTGAAGAGGCGCTCTTCCTGGGTGATAACAATGCAGGCCAGCCGGTCGCATCACAGATGTCGGAGCTCTGGGCTCTGCCTGTTATCCGTCCTCCCAAATCCCATGAAGTGATTTACTCTTAGGCTTTGCACCCAGAAGAGTTCCAGGGAGGACTATCACTTGTAGATTTATTACCCGGTACACAGCCCCTCCTGTTCCTTGGAATCCTTGTAGCTGCTAACTAGCTGTGAGTTAGCATACCCTTCTCCATTACTTTGCAACACTGGTAAAGTCGTGTCATTCCCACGACATAGTCCATTCAATTCCACATTAACTTCCAACCGTTGCATTTTCATTTCCAACACAGCCATCTTCTGTATAAGTTTCTGGAAGTCATCTGTAGAGAACGGAGGCATTTTGCTACCAACTAGCTTAAGCTAAATAGCAGTAGCCTACCAGGCTTTAGTTGTTGCTAGGCCACGCTATTGTAAGACTGACGTCGTCGTAAAAATGTTGAAATATGGCTGAAACCCTCCGTCTATTTACGAAGATGAACTGTCCCAGTGATAAGTTAATGAGCATTTCTTTCTAAGCCCCGCCTTTTTGCGAGTATGTTTTAATTCATGGCGGAAATATTTATCGTTTTGAACATGCTCATCTCCTAGGGTAATGTGTCCTGACCCTCCGGCGATACTGTATACTGAGTTTGGTGTTGATAAACTGACAATTTAAATGTAAGTGACTATTTAACTGTGTATGTAAATTATGCCAATTAAAAAAAAAAAATGTAGGCGGAGCTTAGGGTTCCAATTGGATTATTTGTAGAGCAGGTCCACCTGGATATGTTTTGCAAAATGTCAGGTCATTCGGAGTTACGGTGCGACTTTGTGAATTTTTTCCGAAATGGAATTGAGATAGGTGGCGCTAGCGAGCATGTTGAAATATTTTAACAAATTGAGTCCAGAATATTGTAATTTTTCACCGATTCTGGAATCTGTGCAAAATTATACAACTTTGTCCTAAAGGCCTCAAAAACAGGAAAGATGGCGACTAAAAATAATAATACCACCAATAACAATAGGTATCCTCGCACTTCGTGCTAGGACGCCGTTGGGTCCTAGCACTCCGTGCTCGGGCCCTAATAATGAATTAAACAAGGGAATTATGATACTGTACAAACTTAAGCAGTATCAAATTGATAAACAAAAATATTATTGACTTACAAATTACACATCTGAAAAGGGGAGGGAAGAAGTTTACACATATTTAACCTTTCTCCTGAAAACTAAATTATTAACATTTATTTATCTAAATCTCTATCTACATACAAGATACATTTACAATCATAAATAGATCATATCATTATTACTACAATATATATGTAAAATATTCATTTGCGTTGTATGTCATATTTGATAAGACAAATATAAAAAAGACCATCTTTTTACATCTATCATCCAAAAACATTTGTTATAAAAAACATAATAACAAATAAATAAATAAACGAAATACATAAAAAAGGTAAACGGTAATCAAGAAAGGATAAAATAACAAACCATATAAATAAACCGTAAACTCCCAGTTATGATTAAACCGTTTCATCCCTGTATCTTCCCCTGAGCTCCTCATTCAAACTGTTCCAAAGCTTCACCAAACAAACAGTCGGGTGCCGCCAATAAAAAGCTGATCTAAAGCTGATCTAAAGCTGTGTAGACAGGTGTATTCTAGACAGGTGTATTGTAGACAGGTGTATTGCAGACAGTATTGTAGACAGGTGTATTGTAGACAGGTGTATTGTAGACAGGTGTATTGTAGACAGGTGTATTGCAGACAGTGTATTGTAGACAGGTGTTTGTAGACAGGTGTATTGTAGACAGGTGTATGTAGACAGGTGTATTGTAGACAGGTGTATTTGCAGACAGGTGTATTGTAGACAGGTGTATGCAGACATGTGTTATTGTAGACAGGTGTATTGCAGACAGGTGTATTGTAGACAGGTGTATTGTAGACAGGTGTTATTTGTAGACAGGTGTATTGTAGACAGGTGTATTGTAGACAGGTGTGTGAGTGTATTGTTAGACAGGTGTATTGTAGGACAGGTGTATTGTAGACAGGTGTATTGTAGACAGGTGTATTGTAGGACAGGTGTATTGCAGACAGGTGTTGTATTGTAGGACAGGTGTATTGTAGACAGGTTGTATTGCAGACAGGTGTATTGTAGACAGGTTGTATTGCAGACAGGTGTATGTAAGGACAGGTTGTATTGTCGACAGGTGTATTGTAGACAGGTGTATTGTAGACAGGTGTATTGTAGACAGGTGTATTGTAGACAGGTGTATTGCAGACAGGTGTATTGCAGACAGGTGTATTGTAGACAGGTGTATTGTAGACAGGTGTATTGTAGACAGGTGTATTGTAGACAGGTGTATTGTAGACAGGTGTATTGCAGACAGGTGTATTGTAGACAGGTGTATTGTAGACAGGTGTATTGCAGACAGGTGTATTGTAGACAGGTGTATTGCAGACAGGTGTATTGTAGACAGGTGTATTGTAGACAGGTGTATTGTAGACAGGTGTATTGTAGACAGGTGTATTGCAGACAGGTGTATTGTAGACAGGTGTATTGTAGACAGGTGTATTGCAGACAGGTGTATTGTAGACAGGTGTATTGCAGACAGGTGTATTGTAGACAGGTGTATTGTAGACAGGTGTATTGTAGACAGGTGTATTGCAGACAGGTGTATTGTAGACAGGTGTATTGCAGACAGGTGTATTGTAGACAGGTGTATTGCAGACAGGTGTATTGTAGACAGGTGTATTGTAGACAGGTGTATTGCAGACAGGTGTATTGTAGACAGGTGTATTGCAGACAGGTGTATTGTAGACAGGTGTATTGTAGACAGGTGTATTGTAGACAGGTGTATTGTAGACAGGTGTATTGTAGACAGGTGTATTGCAGACAGGTGTATTGTAGACAGGTGTATTGTAGACAGGTGTATTGTAGACAGGTGTATTGTAGACAGGTGTATTGCAGACAGGTGTATTGTAGACAGGTGTATTGTAGACAGGTGTATTGCAGACAGGTGTATTGTAGACAGGTGTATTGTAGACAGGTGTATTGTAGACAGGTGTATTGTAGACAGGTGTATTGTAGACAGGTGTATTGCAGACAGGTGTATTGCAGACAGGTGTATTGCAGACAGGTGTATTGTAGACAGGTGTATTGTAGACAGGTGTATTGTAGACAGGTGTATTGTAGACAGGTGTATTGTAGACAGGTGTATTGCAGACAGGTGTATTGTAGACAGGTGTATTGCAGACAGGTGTATTGTAGACAGGTGGGATCAGCGCACCTGCGTAGGCTTTTGGTTTTTCAACATGATGCCCAGAGGCGCTACAGTGGATGTACTGAGCTATTATCCTCCTCTTCATCATCAATATATCAGGTCTCAGATATATCCAGAGCCTGTCTCTGATTGGCTGAAACACCAAACAGATCATTGCAGCATTACCCATAATCCCCTCTGTTTCAGCCCTGTTTCCAAAGTGCTGATTCTCTGTCTGTGACTTTAGATGAAAATAAGGAGCCCCTCCCCACGCCCCTCTGAGAGAGCTCAATGCAATGGTGCTCTAGGAGGATATTCAGGTGATAAGGGGGGGGGGGTTACCTTGGTTGCTGATTGGCTAATGGCTACACAAGACAAAACATCATTATGACATCATAAAGTGGATCACAAGTGGATCTTGCATAATAGGTGGCACTTAAAGGGGGGTGGGGGGTACCTGAGCTGAAGCCCAGCCCCAGCAGCAGCAGGCAGGCGAGCAGAGCCAGCAGGGAAACCAGCAGCAGAACCGACAACAGAACCTCCAGCTGGGTCCTCCGGCCCAGCAGCTCCACACCGCCCTTCCTGAAGCCCACCTGCCAATCAGAGACACACTTTAATAACATGCCACGTACTTTAATATCCCATCAATAATAATCCATCATGCAGTCCCACAGAAAGAGAAGAAGACATACAGGAAGTAAACACTAAAGGGAACATCAGAAGAAGACAGACAGGAAGTAAACACTAAAGGGAACAGCAGAAGAAGACAGACAGGAAGTAAACACTAAAGGGAACAGCAGAAGAAGACAGACAGGAAGTAAACACTAAAGGGAACAGCAGGAGAAGACAGACAGGAAGTAAACACTAAAGGGAACAGTAGAAGAAGACAGACAGGAAGTAAACACTAAAGGGAACAGCAGAAGAAGACAGACAGACAGTAAACACTAAAGGGAACATCAGAAGAAGACAGACAGACAGTAAACACTAAAGGGAACAGCAGAAGAAGACAGACAGGACAGTAAACACTAAGGGAACAGCAGAAGAAGAAGACAGACAGGAAGTAAACACTAAAGGGAACAGTAGAAGAAGACAGACAGACAGGAAGTAAATACTAAAGGGAACAGCAGAAGACAGACAGACAGACAGTAAACACTAAAGGAACATCAGAAAGAAGACAGGACAGGAAGTAAACACTAAAGGGAACAGCAGAAGAAGAACGACAGGAAGTAAACACTAAAGGGAACATCAGAAGAAGACAGACAGGAAGTAAACATTAAAGGGAAACAGCAGAAGAAGACAAGACAGACAGTAAACACTAAAGGGAACAGCAGAATAAGACAGACCGGAAGTAAACACTAAAGGGAGCAGCAGAAGAAGACAGACAGGAAGTAAACACTAAAGGGAACAGCAGAAGAAGACATACAGGAAAGTAAACACTAAAGGGAACAGCAGAAGAAGACATACAGGAAGTAAAAACTTAAGGGAACAACAGAAGAAGAGAGACAGACAGTAAACACTAAATGGAACAGCAGAAGAAGACAGACAGACAGTAAACACTAAAGGGAACAGCAGAAGAAGACAGACAGACAGTAAACACTAAAGGGAGCAGCAGAAGAAGACAGACAGGAAGTAAACACTAAAGGGAACAGCAGAAGAAGACAGAGGGCCTCTTTAAGTCTGCAGTCCTGTCTGTGTGAACGCAGACAGGACTGAGTCCACTGAACCTCCTCTCCCTTCCTGCAGTGTATTAAAGCTAAGCCCTCTCTCGTGGGAGGTGGACCCCCTGTCCTGAGACCCTCCTGGGATTTAACGCCCCTCTCAGGACTTCACCTGCGAACGTTATCCACGGAGGCTGAAGCAGACTTTTGATGTTTGTCCTCTGAGTTTAAACACTAACAAAACGTCTGATGCTTTCAGATCAATCAGAATAACTAACAACAGACGTGAATAAAGAGTCATGTTCACTGAATGAGGCTGGAAATATGGAGAAATCTAATATGTGTTGTTAAAATACCTGGATATTGATGTATAAGAAAATGGCTAATTATAATGCAGCCAGACATTTAGTCTCATATTAAAAAAAGAAAATGTCAGCAACATTTCTTGTCTCTTCATACCCCCCCCCCCCTTATCACCTGAATCTCCTCTAGAGCTCCATTTGAGTTCTTTGTAATCCAAATGTCTCTCAGAGGGGCGTGGGGAGGGGCTCTTATTTTCATCTAAAGTACCAGACAGAGACTCAGCACTTTGGAAACAGGGCCTGAAACAGAGGGGGATTATGGGTAATTGCTGCAATGATCTGTTTGGTGTTTCAGCCAATCAGAGACAGGCGAGACCTGTGATGTATTGATGAAGAAGAGGATGATAGGGACCTTTAATTTAAATGATTTTTTTTTCCTTTTGTATATTTCTCAGCCCTATTTCCTTGTGTGTTCTTCTTCTGTGTTTGTGTTGCGTTCACTGACCTCCACGGCGTCAGAGACGAGGCTGAATCCCCCGCAGTGTCCGACGCTTCGTCCTCCTCGAACGTGGCTCGCTTGTAGCTGGACATCTGCAGAAGAGACGGAGACACATAGCACATTGAACATCTCTGCTAAAGGACAAAAACAAAGAATGGATTTTCTCCGGCGCCTCAGGTCCTTTGGGGCGAGCAGAGAAAGTCTTCTGTTGTTCTTTACATCTGTGACTGCGTCTGTTCTACTGCCACACTACCGGGTACAAGTGTCAACAGCTTTCAAATCAGAACGGCTCCACCCGTTAGAAACCTGCTCAGTCTGTTGGTCACCCTGTCAGAGACTTTCTGACTCTTGTAAAGCTTGAACTGCCGTGTGTTGAAAGGTGCTGTATAAATAAACTTGCCTTACAAACTAAAAATATATAAACTGCTTGATCGATCGCAGAGTCTTCTTCATCTGTTATTCACACTCTGCTGTCGGTCAAACAGGCCTCAGGGACAGACATGTGATATCTCAGGAGTGCTCAGTAAGTATATTGAATGAACACAGCATCAACCAAACCCGTTCAGGGGTGCTAGTGCTAGTGACTTATCCGACCGGCCCACTTCAGTGCGGCCCATCGGGATTCGTCCCGAGCGTCCCGATGGCCAGTCCGCCCCTCTGGCTGGGAAACATCGTACGGAGCCAAATGTGATCGATTTAGTGTTTATCAGAATACAGGGATTCCAACCCACTCCAACTTAATAACTGAAATAAACTCAAAACATCTTTAGTGCCGTTTAACTTCTTAGTTTTTACAAGTCTGTAAATATACACAACTTCATAATAAAACACATTTACCTTTTGGTTTGTGAAGTTAAAACAATATGAGGGAACCATGAAGTGTTACCGTCTGTATGAAGATATGAAATGTCTATCAGTTTCAGTTTATCAGTAAATGTGAGCTGGAGCGCGTTTCCTCCTAACCCTACGTCTCAGATCAGATTCCCTCCTAACCCTACGTCTCAGATCAGATTCCCTCCTAACCCTACGTCTCAGATTCAGATTCCCTCCTAACCCTACGTCTCAGATCAGATTCCCTCCTAACCCTACGTCTCAGATCAGATTCCCTCCTAACCCTACGTCTCAGATCAGATTCCCTCCTAACCCTACGTCTCAGATCAGATTCCCTCCTAACCCTACGTCCTCAGATCAGATTCCCTCCTAACCCTACGTCTCAGATCAGATTCCCTCCTAACCCTACGTCTCAGATCAGATTCCCTCCTAACCCTACGTCTCAGATCAGATTCCCTCCTAACCCTACGTCTCAGATCAGACTCCCTCCTAACCCTACGTCTCAGATCAGATTCCCTCCTAACCCTACGTCTCAGATCAGATTCCCTCCTAACCCTACGTCTCAGATCAGACTCCCTCCTAACCCTACGTCTCAGATCAGACTCCCTCCTAACCCTACGTCTCAGATCAGATTCCCTCCTAACCCTACGTCTCAGATCAGATTCCTCCTACTACGTTTCAGATCAGATTCCCTCCTAACCCTTCAGTCTCAGATCAGACTTCCCTCCTAACCCTACGTCTCAGATCAGATTCCCCTCCTAACCCCTACGTCTCAGATCAGATTCCCTCCTAACCCTACGTCTCAGATCAGATTCACTCCCTACCCTACGTCTCAGATCAGATTCCCTCCCTACCCTACGTCTCAGATCAGATCCCTCCTAAACCCCTACGTCTCAGATCAGAAGTACTTTAATGATCCCAGCAGCACGAAGAGACAAGAAGGAGCAGAG